TGTCATGTACTGCCACGGCCAATTTCTATAGTACTCGGGATGGAACTCAGGGGCTTTTACACGCTAGGCAAACATTCTACCAACTTAATTATATCTGCCCCCCCCCGATTTATCCCCCCTTTTATTTTTCAATTGAAAGAAAAGCAGCCTGCCGCTCAGGCTGGTTATAACCTCCTGGGCTCACAGGGTCCTATTATCTTGCCCACCCCAGTTGCTGGAAGTATTGATTGGTGCCACTGTGCCTGACTCCATAAGTTAAATCTTGACAGAACAGAATACTTCTCTGTTAAAATGAATGAGAGGTGGAAAGACGGGGAGGCTGGAAGCAGAATGCAGGGTATGTTAGCGGGACAGGGGCATGTCAATAAGAAAATGGGGTAAGAAATGGAAGGCGTGTATAGCTGTATTCTCTTCATCAGGTTTCAGGCTTGGCTTGGATTCCCGTTTATGACTTCCCTGGAAACAATATCTGACATAATTGACATTTGTTGGACACTTAATCAAAGCTGCTTTTACAAGACTTGAACTTGATAGGTAATCAAAGATGAGACATTGAACTGAACCGTCTGCCTCCATCTCCAAAATGCTGGGATTACAGGGCTGTGCCGCTATACCCAGCTTACTTGGTGCTGGGGGTTGAACCCACGTCCTTGTGCATGCTAAGCAAGCACTTTTAGTACCTGAGTCATTTACCTAGCCTGCTTTAAAATCTGGACACAGTAGCTCACAACTGTAATTCCAGGACTCAGGAGGCTGAGGAACAAGGTTTCCCCGACTCCAAGGCCACTGTCGGCTGACAAGGTCAGTCTTTGCTGAGAGAGACTCTACCTCAAAACTGTTGACTGAGGGTTCTGTCCTGCCCGGTTCCCACAGTTGTTAAGTCCCAAAGAAATCACAAAGACATCTACATTAATTATAAATTGATTGGTGTAGTATCCCAGGCTTCTTATTAACTCTTATAATTTATATTAGTCCATAATTCTTGTCTATGTTAGCCACATGGCTTGGTACCTTTTTCGGTGAGGCAGTCACATCTTGCTTGCTCTGTGTCCTGCTTCCTCTCCATCTGGGTGAGGCCTGTAGACTGAAACTTCCCTCTTCCCAGAATTCTCATTGTCCTGCCTATACTTCCTGTCTGTTCACCCAGGCTATACTTCCTTCCTGGCTACTGGCCAATCAGCATTTATTTAAAATACAAGTGACAGGTTACAGACCATTGTCCCACAGCACAAAACAAAACCAGGTGTGAAGAAATTAGGGAAAAAATGAGGTGTGCATATCTGTAATTCCAACACTTGGAGGTGGAGGCAGGAGGGTCAGATGTTCAAGGCTAGCCTTGGATGTACAAGACTCTTTTTTTCAAAATGAGCTACTCCCCAAAGTCTCTAACAATACTAAAGGTGTATCTCTGTGATGGAGCATGTGCTTCATGCAGGAGACCGTGGGTTCCACCCCAGCACCAAATAAAAGTAAACAAACATGTCAAAGTCCCCAGTGTCCCCTTTGAGAAACATCCATTCCTCTGGCACCTGTGGAAAATGACCTGTAATAAACAGGAACCCTTCTTCTGTTCTTTCTTTCTTTTGACACAGGCTCTCATGTAGGCTAGCTGGCCTTGAACTCACGAAACGGTCAAGGATGACCCTGAACTTCTAATCATCCTACTCTTCTCAGCATTGCACACATGTACTACCATGCTAGTTTATGTGGTACTGGGAATGGGACTCAGAACCTCACATATGCTGAGCTATAGTTCCATTCTTAAATGAACCCATTTTTATTTTTATTTATTTATTTTAGCTTTTTGAGACAGGATTTCTCTGTGTAGCTTTGGGGCCTATCCTAGAACTCACTCTTATAGACCTTTGAACTCACAGAGCTCCACCTGCCTCTGCCCTGAGTGCTGGGATTAAAGGCGTGCGCTGGGTAAATGAACCCATTTTAATGCTGAGATAACATATTTCACCCACACCATCCCTCCTGAACTACCCTAGCCAATGATACTATAGTCTCTCCAGAAGCCCTGTGGACCCCTTTTCAGTTGTTTCCCATTGCTGATGTGTTCTCTCCCTCTGTGTCGCTAATGTGCTACACTGTTGGTAGAGGCTTTGGAATCTCCACAGCCCTTCCAGTGACAGTGTATTGCTCCTGTTTACTGACGAGGGAACTACAGCTCAGAGAGGTGGGCACTCTGCTAAAGGTCAGTATCTGAGAGTCAGGATTGGAACTCATGGTAGGCTGAATACTTTCCATCACTCCGGTGACTAGGAATTTCCATCTGGAGGCCACCTGTTTGTTCATCTAGAATAAAGGGGGGGGGTGGGAAGGGAGAGCCTCCAGGCAGCTGCAATCCAAAGAGCTTCACATGGTCAGTTCTATCCCCGGGCTCCTAGGAAAGCCTCAGTGGAACAGAGGGTGTGGCAGTGGTTCTCAACCTGTGGGTCTTGACCCCCATATTGGATGTCCTGTGTACCAGGTATTTACATTATGATTCACAACAGTAGCAAAATTACAGTTATGGAGTAGCAATGAAATACTTTGATGACTGGGGGATGGCCACACCACGAGGAACTGTGTTAAAGGGTCACAGCCTTAGGAAGGCTGAGGAGCGCTGGTGTAGAAGGAAGAAAAGATTGAAGGCATTGCCTCACGAGAGCCTTCCTTGGCTGAAGTGTGACTTTTCTTAACGCCTTTCTCTAGAGATGCTTTGCTTGAGAGTCCTTCGCGCTCATTTCTGCCCCACACAGCCATCCATCATCCATGTGACCCCCCCCCCCGAGTGATTCCTTTAAACTTATCATTCTTCTTCTCCGCTTAGAGACCTTCCATGACTCTCAAGTCATGGCTAAATTCATCAATGTGCCTCTTTTAGCACAGCCTAGGAGGCCTTTTGCAATCTGGACTCCCATCCACTCTTTCAGCCTTATCATTAACCGCTCCCTGGCTTCCATACGGCCAAACTGACGGGCAGTTCCTGGCACTCGTTACATTCACTGGCCAGCTCCCACTCATCCCCCCAGCCTTCACCCCTGGAAAGCCTTTGCTGCTCTTGTCCCTTGGTGTCAGGTCAAGTCCTTCCCACTTGCTCGCTCTGCAGCCCTCCCCCACCCCTCACCATCCTTACCTATCCCATCCTTGCTTTTAACAGGCTGTCTTGCCCGTTGTCCTGCACTAGAATTTAGTTTCGCATCATCTGCCTAACTCTCTTTCTCAGGGAATTTACTCTTTCTCTTGGTGCAAGCATACCAGTGTTGCCTCCAAGAGCATACCAGAAATGCCAATGGCTTGATGCTAGGCACAGAGCATTTTCAGCACGGGATTGTGTCCTTTGCAGCCAAACCTCAGTTTTACATGGAGGAGGTATGCTAGGCCATATCACAGCGATGAGAAAAATCTGGGAAAGAATAGCCGACGACAGGATCAACTATGGAAAGCTACTCTGAAATTCTCCAGCTACCTTTATTTTCTTCTGGGAAAGAGCAGGTGATGCTTGTCTCAGGGCCTCAAATCTACTAATGGTTAAGATGCCTACCTTCTTACTTTTCCATGAGACCGCGGGTATAGGTGCCCTCTGAATGCTCAGGGCACGCCAGTCTTCCTGTACAAATCAGGAGACTGACGACTCAGCCATGTGGCAGGCAGGCTCTATGGGCTAGCCATCACAAAGCCCAACTCACTTTGGCAACTGGAGATGGGGAGGTGTGGAGCAGGGACCACAGTCCTATATCCGTTAGTCAGTTTGTATCTACAAAGTGGGCACAGGGAATGAGGGGGCTAAGGCCAAATGCTAGTTGCACTTGGAAACTGCTCCCCTCCCACCATCCCAAAAGAGTTTATTTATAAACAAAAGAAAATGCCAGGTTCCACTGTGCCAATATTGTTTAAGGTATAGTCCCTAGAGACACCAACTAGCTGAAACAGCAGTAGGGAGGGTTTGGTGCATCCCATGAGTAAGAAGAAACTAACGGGTTACTACAGGAAGGTAGGGTATGTGCCAGCACACGAGGGGCAAACAGGCCCATGAGGTAGAGGTGGGGAGGCCTGGCTGTATGGGCGCAGGAAAAGGTATCTGGGCTGTCTGGTAATGACCCAGTTTCTCCTGCTGTTCAAAGACCGAACTGAGAGGGCTAGGAAGTGCAACAGTTCATCCAAATGCTATGAAAGCTTCCAGGCAGCCAGGAGTTTTTCTAAAGCACCGTTCTCTAAAGCAGCGCGTTTCTCTGGTCACCAGGGGCTTTCCCCTCCCCTTCAGCTGAGCCAAGCAGCCCTCTTGTATTCTGTTTAATCCACGCTGCTTCTGAATGAGAGCAATTGCCCCAAACTCCAACTTTCATACTAAACTTAACTTTAAAAAAAAAAGTGTGGATGAGAAGCTGGCGTGGCAGCGGACACTAGGCTCAGTAGTCTGGAGGCAGAGGCAGGAGTTTGAGGCCAGCCTGGGCTAGTGAGCAAGTTCCAGGTCGCCTGGGATGAGGACAAACCCTTGTCAGTAGAAAGAAAAGCCTTTCTACTGAGTGGGCGCTTCCAGTCACAGGACACAAGTTGAGTCGATTACTGACTCACAACGAATATGGGAAATACAAATGTGATGGTTTTCCCTTTTTATTGCCTTTGGGCCTCAGCCCCCCACACCTCATGCCCCCCACCTCACCCCTAGGACAACACTTCTAGGAGGAGACTTGTGCCTGAAGGCAGACCTGGATGCCAGGGCTGAGGAAGCAGGGGTGAACTGTGTGTTTCTACTCAGAGCCAAGGTGAAGGTCGCTCATCTGGTGCACGGCTTCTGGCCATTTGCTCCAAGAATGAGGCTCAGAGCCTGCCACGGATCACCAGCTTGAAGGTATCGACTGGCAAACGCTTCCCTGCAAATATAAGTCAGTCCCCCTACCTGTGGTTAATAAGAGAGAAAAAAAAGGTACTCAAAGACAGCTTTGTTGTGTGGAAAGAAAGCCAATTCCACTTTAATGTACTTAAGAACTCATCCATGATATATTAGGCCAGGCGCTGGTAAGGACTGCCCAGTCTCAGGAGCAGGTAGATCGCCAGAGGCGAACGCTACCAGTACAGGGAGGTTTGCAACAGCAGACTAGGCAGGCAAGTATTTGGCATTTAGTCCGCAGCAGTACTTTACAGTCTTAAATTATTTTTTAATATTGTCTAATAAACTCAGCACTTTAATCTTCCTAGAAACAGCTACTAGAAGTGTAACTTTCCCTCTCTCTTCCAAGCAGGATCACGACACTTGCTCCAAACGTCCTCCATCCTGTAACATTGGGGCTGGGCGTCCAGGCCAGCCTGGTTCTTGGTTCCCCTTCTCGATCGATTCTTCTGACAGTTAGCTAGTGTCAGGAGACCTGGGACAGGGCTGGGGGCCCAGACATGGTCTGTCCATTACAGGCCCAAGCTGCATCTAAGGAGCATCTACTTGAGTGGGTTCGGGAACAGCCCTAAGAATGAGCTCTTTAAGTCCACGTCACCTTCAACGGTTCTGGATGAAGGGGAACAGATGGCGCATAAGGCCATTGCCCGGTCCTCCCTGATTGCCTGAAGCCTTCTTCTTCTTTTTATTCTCTTTGGCTGGCTGAGCCGCCTCTTTGCAGTGTGTCCCCATGGACTTGAGATGCAACACACTTGGGGTGTGTCTCAGTGACCACCCAGTGGTGGTGCTGCTGCTGTTGTTGTTGGCGTTGTCGCGCTCTTTGTCGCGTGCCATCTCCCATTCTTCGGCGCCGGACAGCTCCCGCAGGTTCTGAGAAGCATCGGGCCGCAGATAGTGACAAGGCCGGTGGCCACTGTGATCGCGACGCGTGGGGTCAGCCCCCAGGGCTCCCACCAGTACCTTGATGACCATATCGTGGCCCTGCAGAGCCGCCAGGTGGAGCGGTGTGAGGCCACCGCTGCCGGGGGCGCTCACATCAAATGGCAGTCCCCGGCGCTGGGCAAAATCATGCAACAGAATGAGTTCCTCGTGGCGCCCGTGCTTTGCCAGCCAGTGCAGCACGTTGTAGCCCGTGATCGGGTCGTCCCGCATCAGCAAGCTGGGCTCAGCCTCCAGCAACTCCAACAACACCTCAAGACGGCCTTCAGCGGCTGCCAGAATCCACTCATGTTCCCGCGGCTCCAGGCACACTCGGCTGCTGCCCTGTCCGCTAGAGCGGCGGGACCCAGGTGCAGCCGGCTCCAAGTTCTCCTTCGAGAGCCACTCGGCGGGAGCCGCCCCCTGCAGCCCCAACAGTTCTCGCAGCGTCCCCCTCCGGCGTGTCCCGCTCGTCCCAGCCACCGTCAGGGTACTGTGGAAGATCGGTTCCCGGGACAGGGTGGCAGTGTCTGCGACGGCTTTGCCCTTGTACCTGCCAAGGCTACAGATGTCTGTTTTATAAGAGTGGATCTGCAGGGTGCTGGGCACGTTCGACTTGCCTGGCTCGTCTGAGGCCTTGGGCAGCGGGTTCGTGTCTCCTTGGGGCTGGGCCATGATCTTCTAGCTGCCGCCCGGGTGACTCCAATGACTAGCGTTCGTTGGCCTTCCAAAGGCCCCACAGGGAGAGGAACTGGTGCTGGCGGTGGGGAAGGAAGCGTCTTGAGCAACTGGGCTCCGAGGGAGGGAGTGAAGAAGGGGAGGAGAAGGACCAGTGGGAGGGAGCAAGCCGGGGGAGGGTGTCTCTGTGGGCGGTGGGGGGGGCGTGTAGGGGTGGGCGGTCCTGTAGTGTCCCCTGGACCAGCCGGGCTTCTGTATGCTGGGTACCACTACTCCTTGAACGAGCGAGCGCGAGCGCAGCGACCTCAGGACTCAACCAGCTCCACCCCAAGAAGGCCAGGTGAGCGGTAGCCAGGCCTCCTCCGGCACCTGGTGAACAACCGGGGAATGGGGGTTGCTCTGGTCACCCGGGTTCTCAGCATCCCAGCAGCTGCTGGAGTGAAGAGGCCCTAAGTCGCTTCTTTGAGTATGGGCTGAGCTGGGCTTCCTAGTCACAGTCTTCAGGAGCCAGATCTTGGAGCTTCTTAGGCGGTTGCTTTCTCCCTTCGCTTCCTTCACTTTTATCTCTTCAAGAATCTTCTACACTTTGTCCTTGTGCGCCTTCTCCCCAAGCCTTCGGGGAGGCAGCCTGGCCTCTCCGTGTGACTCAGGCTCCTCGGCCCTGGGCCCTGCCCTTTCTGTAACCTTGACCTTCTATGCGGCAGCACGCGGGAGTGCTGTTGGGGATTCCTGCTTAGAAACTTGAGACCTGTTTTATCCCAGGCTTTTTCAGACCCTGTCCAGCTGGCCTTGGTGAGTTCCCGATAGAACATCCCCATTGTCTCAGTGTGTGGGCGCACCCCTCGCGGTCCTGAGTTCCTTGCTCGTGCTTTCTCTCCTTCTGCTCCTGATTTGGACCTTGGGCCTGGGATAAAACCGGACACCCTGAACATAGCGGACAATGAGGACTACTGAGAACTCAAGAACAATGGCAATGGGTTTTTGATCCTACTGCACGTACTGGCTTTGTGGGAGCCTAGGCAGTTTGGATGCTCACCTTACTAGACCTGGATGGAGGTGGGGGTTTCTTGGACTTCCCACAGGGCAGGGAACCCTGATTGCTCTTAGGGCTGATGAGGGAGGGGGACTTGATTGGGGGAGGGGGAGGGAAATGGAAGGTGGTGGCGGGGAAGAGACAGAAATCTTTTTTTTTTTTTTTTTTTTTTTTAAAATATTTCTTTCTTTATTATATATACAATACTCTGTTTGTGTGTATGCCTGCAGGCCAGAAGAGGGCAGCAGACCCCATTACAGATGGTTGTGAGCCACCATGTGGTTGCTGGGAATTGAACTCAGGACCTTTGGAAGAGCAGGCAATGCTCTTAACCTCTGAGCCAGCTCTCCAGCCCCCAGAAATCTTTAATAAATAAATAAATTTAAAAAAAAAAAGAAACTTGAGACCTGGGAGGAGAGGTATTTCCCAGAATACAGCCTTCTCCCTTCAGTACTTCTCTGGTCTGGCCTGAAAACCCAGCTGCAGGTAAATCTGAGCCAGCACCACAGAGACATGGCTGTCCTCTTTACAGAGTCATCAAACTCTGCCAATGTCAATAAACGGTAGCTTCTATTCTTCTTCTTCTTCTTCTTCTTCTTCTTCTTCTTCTTCTTCTTCTTCTTCTTCTTCTTTTTGTTTTTTGAGACAGGGTTTCTCTGTGGCTTTGGAGCCTATTCTTTTTTTTTAAAGATTTATTTATTTATTATGTATAGTGTTCTGTCTGCATGTATGCCTACAGGCCAGAAGAGGGCACCAGATCTCATTACAGATGACTGTGAGCCACCATGTGGTTGCTGAGAATTGAACTCAGGACCTCTAGAAGAGCAGACAATGCTCTTAACCTCTGAGCCATCTCTCCAGCCCCAGCTTCTATTCTTTTGAAAAAACTGGATACATCTTTTTATGTCAACCTTAGACTCCCCCGAGTCTTTCCTTTTACCAGCAGGTGGTTTTGCTGTTTGTTTGACTTTTGTTTTTGTTTTGAGACAGTATCTTAGTTTAGCCCAGGCTGGCCTGGAACTCCAGGTAAACGCCTTTGCCTCTGGTCCCAGGAGACGACAGTTCTGATATTTTGGAGACAGGGTCGTGTGTAGCCAAGGCAGGCCTGGAACACAACATGCAGTGAACAATGACGTTGAATTTCTGATCTGCGTTTGTCCTCCTCCCAAGTGCTGGGAATAAAGGTTGGCAAATTAACCCCCATCTTGAGAAAGTAGTTCTCACCTCCTCTCCCCTCCAGTGTTAAGGAACTTGATATACAACAAAGAAGGAGGCAGAGAAGACTTTGGAGCCTGCGAGGGATGCGGCCATTCGGGCTGTGTTTGAAAGATGATTTGGGGGAGAGGTAGAGGCAGGAAGCCCCACTATTGAAGCAGTCCAGACCAGGGCAGGTGGGAACTGAGGCCCAACGAGTCCTCTCCTCTGCGTCCTCCACGGCACCAGCCATGGAGATTGTCAGACAGTGGCTTTCCCTCCTTGTTCAAATATCTGGGGTCGGCTTTAAATATTGTGAGTGTTCCTTCACGACAGTATATGAATTTGAACTTTCTATGTGTGAGTTCTGACTTCTCCCCAGGGACTTAGGAACTAAGAATCAGTTTGCAGAGAAGTTAGACCACTTGCCCAAGGTCACCCAGCAGGAAGTGGCACAGTAACACTGCGTGACACGGTAGCCTTTGTTCTGGCACAAAAAAACTGGCATTCAAGCCAGGTTTATGTGCTGCAGATCGGTCACACAAGCACCAAATTGTAGCCAAATGTCTGAGGGTGACCTAGTTGAAGCTTCCTCCCACTTGCCTTCTGCCTAGACCACCCTCCTTTCTCTCTTTTAAGTTAACTGATCTATTTGGGGTTTATTATTATTGTTGTTGTTGTTTTGAGATAAGGTTTCTTATGTAACAACCCTTGCTGTCCTGGAACTAGCTCTGTAGACCACGCTGGCCTCGATCTCACAGAGATCCACCTGCCTCCTAAGTGCTGGGATTAAAGGTTCACACCACCATGGCCAGGCCAGTTTGGGGTTATTTTTGATATTAGCATTTTATATAGTCCAGGTTGGCTTCCGTCTCCTGATCCTCTTACATGCACCTCCCGAGTGGTGGGATTACAGGCGATTGTCACCTCTGCTTCGCTATTTTGAGATAGGATCTTTTAACATACCCCAGCTATCCTGGTACTCACTGTGTAGCCCTGACTAGGTTTGAACTCTCAGCAAGCCCCCTGCCTCAGCCTCCCATTTCCTTCACACTTCTATCTAGTGAAGTTCTTCATGTTTTACGATTAATCTGAGTATTCACCTTATCCAGCCCACCTCCTCGGCCCCAGCCCGGAATGACCCTCTTATTTCCCAACCCCAATGGGGTTTCTGTTACCCCATTGTCACCGTGCTTGGGGGAGACTGGTTGTTCTATTTCTCCTCTTTCTCTGACAGGTTGATTAATCTGTTTGATGAGTGTATCACACGCTATCCTTGTGCAAACTTGGTTTGTGCAGAAGAAATAAATGGGTGCTACTTGACTCTGCTTTGGTAGCCTGGGAAACTGGGATTTTGTGTGTATGTCTGTGAGCATAAATTCATGTTGGACAAGTCCATGCCAACTCCTGTCACTGTTTTAGACCAAAATCTGCAGGACTTACCAGCTCGTTGATTTGGTCAATTTATAAAAACAAAGAAAACTAGCAAATAAGGTGTTTCTTCTGTGAGTGAAATGGCCACAACTGCTGGTTGGCCTCTGTGGGTTCCTTGAAGACCAGGCTCAGGCCCAGGATGGGCCCCAAGCTTTCGGGCTTTCATTTTCAAAATGACCCCGATTGACAAGCAGCTATTCCGTTGCTCTGGAAACTCCCCTCCACAACCCCAAATCTGTAAACAGCAAACCACATGCATGCGCACACACATACTTCCAGAAGATCTGAGCAGCTGCGGCAATATTTTCTTTAAATCAAAATGCCAGCATGGAGGTTGCTGCGTGGAAAAATGCTGGAACTATTAATTTTCCTCGCCACTAAGCAGGTAATTCCCTTGCTGTCAGCATTAATCATATCTCCAGTTCCAGTTCAAAGACGGTGAAGGCAGGCACCTGCCTGGCACCACACACCCATGACACATGTGCCCTTGCTAAACTCTAATCCCAGAGACCAAAGCCACATTGCCTCTCTAGTGACTTGTGTTTCATCTTTGCTTCAAGGGCTCTCTCTTCCCTAGATAGCCAGCTGCACACCCCGATCCCTACGATCACAAGTCCATCTCTATTTCAGCAGGGGAGAGTGAAGTAGAAGGAGCGAGACACAGAAGGGGGGCTGCCACCCTACTTATGCCTGGGATGCCAGTGAGGTGAAGCAATTGCCAGCCTTCGTCTTGCTTGCACGGCCAGGATGGAACCTCGGTCACCACAGGCTAGGCAAACGCTCTGCTGCTGACCTCCACCCCTAGCTCTCATCTGGTCAAACCTTTGGAAATGATTGACCCAGAGTTAGAAGGTAGCTATGTGCACCGCCATGCCACCGAAAGCACACCAGCCGTTGACTGTAGGATGGGTAATTTGTGTTGCCGCCTCTGGAATAATGCTGACATCTCTGATTTTACTTAGGGTTCCTGTACTATGACAATGAAGGGAAATTGTTCAGAGTGACCCTGCTATGTTATCTAGGTTGCCTTTGACCTCAAGCTCCTTCTGCTTCAGCCCACTGAGTTGGGGGTGGGGGGGTTATGGTGTATGCCACAATGTCTTACCTAAAAGAAGAGTTTTTTTTGTTGTTGTTGTTGTTGCTGTTTTGAGAAATGGAGCCCAGGTCATCTCCCAACATGTGATCTTGCCGCCTCAGCCACCCATGTGCTGAGATTAGAAGCTTGCCCCACTGATTCTAGCTAATTTAGACACATTTGCTCAGGAACACTGGTCCTAGGGGAAAGGAAAAGGTATGTGCGTCCTAGGATGTAAGTGAAATTTAGCAGCTGACTTTA